ACGTCGAAGTCACACCTCGTGGTCAGCACCTTACGTGGACTACCCCATTGACGTATCAAGGTACCATAGATGCTTTGAAGACTGTACAACACAGAGAACGTTATTACAGAAATATATAGTGATTAAAGTAGATACAAGCGAAAGTAAGACCACTGCCGCATGGGCCAGTCCATGGCATACGATTAACTAATGCGCGTTGGTTGTACATGACCTTGACATGGAGCGATGATTTGTTTGACATTCAGTGATCCAACTGCCGGATGATTTGGCTAGGGCTCGACGACATTTCACTGGCCCTACACACTAAAATTATAGCCCGGTTCAAAAGTCTCTTTGATGACTTTCGTTTTGGAAGTGATTTGCCTCACCCATGAAATATTAGTAGATTACTGATGATTTACTCAAACAAGGTCCAGTACCTATCTAGTTTTCTGTAAAACAAAGTAGGATCTCTGAAATTTTGTTTGCTTGTTTAATTCTTTTTATGTAATGATCTAAACACCTTTTGTTTATTTATCATTATCGTGATTGATCTCCTGACACACAAGATATTATTTTCTGTTTATTCCCTCACTTCTTTCCTTCTACATAAATTTTATTTCCAACCACCCAAAGATTACAAGTGAAAATATATCTTTTTATGATAATTAGAAGTATTCGAATTATTGTACCAGATTTTTTAGTAAACAGCAGGCATTCTTGCCGATGAATGTGAAGAAATGAGACAACATTTTATCATACTTAACATCATTCTTGATCATAGTCTAGGATGTAAACCCTTCTATGTAATCTCCAAAAGCTCCTCTACGGGTGTTTTAACTTTGCAGCAGTAGTAGAAGTGACGTTTGCTTCCGAGGTTTTGAAATTTCTTGCTTGCACATGAGAATGAGGGGACTTTGGATTCCGTAACCAGCACTTAGTTAGAATTATGCCCAGTGGTCAGAAAGTAAAGCTGTCGCTGAAGCATTATTAAATTTTCTAGACGGTCCACAATCATTGATGAGAAATTCACAATTTATAATTGGGGATTTATCATCTTTAATCAGCAAAGTACAGAACACAAGTACGGAAAGTTAGTAACCAGTGTTACTAAAAATGAAACTTCGATAGGCATAATTAGTGACTTCAACTTCCCTAGCGAAATGATGGGCTTAATACTGTCAGTTTCAACAATAAAATAGTAAAGAGCACCACTGGATAAATATAATCGTTTTCGAATACGAAGTTGAAAATAAAAATAATATATAGTCATTAGAATCACCCAAGTTAATAAGAGCTGTATTACAAAGTTTAGCATTACTTGAAGCGAAATACACAGTAGTTTTACAAACCGACTTGATGTGTCCGATATCACAACACATTAAGCATTTAGCATGATGAAATACACATGAATTACGTGTGTGAAATTTACCACAGGACAAATATTCACCAAGCTTGTGCTCACCCTTGTCACCTGCTTTGAAAATCCTCACTGAAATGTCAACCATATTTCCGCGAGAACGAGTGTTATGGTCAATTAAACGCCTATCTGTATGGCCTTGAGTACACGTCGAATTCGGATAACTAAGCACTTTATTGGAATTCTTGATGTCCTAGAAGTCAATTCCATGCACTGCCTCATAATTAATACACGCAGTTCTAGCATCTTGAAAAGAACACTTCGACATTTGTATGAATGCTTTTTCCAGATGTGATATGTTAATCTGTGAAATCAATTGATCACGCAGCTGATATACCCATTTTCTAGTTGCGTAACAGATATTTTTATCCATTTTGAGCTCTTCAGTAACGAAATATTACCAGTTTTTACATAATTAGTCACAAAAGGCAACGTATCTAGCACTGCACTCCTAGTTCCACTCAAAGCATATTGATTAGTTTTATGGGACGGGTTTGCACACATATCAATTATTCTACGGATCACATCAAAGTAATTTAGCTGAACTATGAATTTCGTCAATTATTTTACTACTATTTAATTTGTGATTAATACTTTCACAAGCGAAAATGTATTTACTACGGTTCGATAATAATTTACAAGTTTTCACTGAACATTTTATTTATTATTTATACACCAATTTTTGTATTCTAACTGTTATAACGGTTGGGTTTTCACGTTTACACGTATGGGACGTTAATTTACCTTAGACGAATATCCACACTAGATTCCCCCCCCCGTGTCTATTTTACAGGACTTCAACATAACTCAGATCAAGAACACGTGATTAGCCTGACTAGAACTTAAATATATTACCATACCAAAAACCGACACAGTTCAATAACGACGAAAAATCAATAATAATTATTATAAGGATAGGGGAATATATAACTCTCTGACACCTGTCAGACTATCTACATGTCTGACTGAGCAGACAACCAATCATTATCATTCTCGTCTACACATCACTAACCAAGTTACGTTACGGATTAGTTTATTTTCTTAAGTTCCATTCTCTAGACTGTGATCATTCCATTGTAGGGTTGAGAAATGCGTATGGAATGCGTCAAATAAACAAATTTCTACCTCAGTATTGTGGTTAGAAACTTGTATAGTGAAAACTTACACTACACACTCAAATGATAAATTTTCAGTGTAAAATTTTTTTAATTCTAAACTGCTCAAATGACTTAAACAATTTTCTGATCAAATTATTTTCAAATGTAAAAGTCGTAACATTTTATTCATTATGAAAATTAATTGAACTTCAACTAATCAGATCGCAACTGGAAGTGGTTTAAAACCATATAAATTGTTTTGTAGTTTAACATAGATACTCCTTTTAGAGTACAAAATGTGTGATAAATTATTTTAATAACAATTAAGCTACTCACCATTCTTTTAATATCTATTAAAATCCAACCATAGTTCGCTTACTATTAATAAACTAAGTGTTAAATATAAATTTTCTAGCAAAAACAAGTACTTAAATTGTATCTAAGTTGATTCAGACGACACTACTTTTATTTGCAAACATTTATTACCTACTGTATTTGTGATTATAGTTCGGTCTCACCACATTTTTATGGGTTGTACAGCTAAACGATTTTCGGTGGCACTTATCATCGTATATAAACAAATATTTTAGATTTCGTGGTTAATCATTGATACGAAAATTCGAAAGATGAATGAATAACAAACTAGGTTATGGATACTCAAAAACCTAAAAGATTCAAGTCTGACTGGTTACAGAGGTCCCCAAATTCTTCTTTAAAAATAGGTTTAATATCTGTGTCAGTAATTATGAAGTATGGTTATGTTTGTACATCTAATCTTTTGAATGGATACAGCACAGATGCAAACACTAATTTTCCGAAACTAGGTTTTATGAATAGATTACTACTAAGACAAACCTGTGTTTCATGGGTATATGTCTCACTTTCAGGTTAATCTAACCTAGTAAAACAGAGGCCATATATCATGTCTTAAATACTTTCTTATTATTCTATGGATAGTAACTGAGTCTAAACATAATTTACGATTGGATAGTATGTACAAATCTAACTTATGAAGTCTTTTATCTCAAGGTAAGCACAGGATCTTCGGTGGTCCACGATTAGTGGTTCTCTCAGTTCATTTTCGGATATGTGAGTTATCTTTCAAACACTGCCGTGTAGCCTACCGACTGCATCCAATTTTAGCTTGTAATGGTATTGAGTAACTTGTATCAGAAACTTTTTTACCCAACGTCGTAAGAGTTCGTCATAACATTAATACTATGTTACAAACTTTAAATGAAAGCTAAACAACAATGATCCATGGATTCCGAGTCATGATTTTTATGACTTATGTGTCATTTCGATTTCGATTTAAAGGGAAGTTTGTAGTCGATGCCAGCTGCATTTGCAGTGTGCTTAAAGACTCATTTAGCTAGATTGATAGATTTCAGAGATATCTTAGATCACTTTTCAAAGTACACAGATCGATAACAATTGTTTTCGGTTACCAGGAATAAACTTTGAAACTGGTCATCACTCTATATCCCTAATTGACGATGACATTTATAATTCTCTTAAACAGACACCTAGTGGTCTATACAACTTCAAACTTTAATATAAATTCAGTTTTTGAAGCCTTGTTCTATGTCTAATAACAAATTACTTTAAGTTGTAATCTTAGCCAACATCTACAGAAAATAAAATATTCTCGACGGCCACTTTTTTAAGAGGTAGCTTACAAAAACGTTTCTCTGAAGTAGTTGACCTCGCATTCCAATCTTGCTTATCTTATACCACGTGACGTGCTTTCATCTTCCTAACTAAAATACTGATCCGTTGATAAGTTTTAGTCTCTAAATTTATGAGATAGAAACGTTGCCTGAGGTACTTCATAACATCTTACTGAAGTTGGTTTGCGCACTGCGTCTGAGACTATTGAAATGTAACAATACTTTGGTTCCGGATAGTCTTATAGCACTGCTTAGATTTAGTATCATCGAGATCGATGATGACATACCGAAGTTTCATGTCAATCTAACTATAATCTACTAATATCATCTTCATGGAGGATGACTAAATCACGAATTGATGAGTAGTGTTAAAAGTAACTCTCCTGATACGCTGGACAAGAACAAGGGATAGGATAGATTCTAAAGACAAGTTACATAGTCTACCCAGCTAATATAACTTTTCGAATAAACCTAATTATTCCATTTGAATTAAGTAATAAGTGTTTTGTATATAACAGCCAGTCTTATTGGACGTGGTCCAGCAACCCCTGGTTCATTTGTGACTATTTGAGTACATTTTGGATAGATCTGGGAATATTTCTATTACGTTAATTAAATAAAGTACTTTTAATTACTCCATAAATTATTTAATTTTTTTTCTACTTATGATTATGAATACTATCGTTCTAAGTAGGTCATTCAGCAGGATGTTGGTATTTGCTTTGTTTTTGAACGACAAAATTTAAAATAGAAAAGTTGAACAAACAGTTGAATAAATTTATCAATAATGTAAATACAAATCATGATAACGAGAACTTTAGATCCATCCACAGGAAAATCTTTTGTTTTACAGGTCATGTTTCGAAGGTGGAAAGATGTTTTTACCCGGAGAATTAAAGGTGAATAGATGTTGTTTGCTTTTCAGTGGTTTTAATGGCTTGGCGCCTATTACAAAACCAAACACGAATAACTTCACGATCATAAGTCAAGGCTTTGGCTAACTCAGTCATCTCAGCTTCTAAAATTCAGTTTAAAAAACAATCATAACATTTTTGAGGAGTTCAATGAAATAGAAAAGTAGATTGATAGGAGACTGACAAATTCTAAGCAATCTTGTGCTTTATAAAATGTGTTTTATAAAACAATATCGTATTTAAAAGTGAAAACATTTTTAAAAAATGGATTAGTAAATAATAACTCAAAGTTAAATCATAGAAAATCCTCAGTGGCAGAACACTATGATGTTTCTAGAAATAAGAAGATCATGTACAGTAATGTAGACTGTTTCATATTTCTAGCAGCTGAGAGATGAAAAAGAACCATCAGTAAGCAATAGTTTATTTTATTCACAATTATCATTTAAAATCTAAAAATCACTTCCAAGAACAAACAAGGTAGATAAGAAGCAGTATAGCTTCTATTTTCACACCAGAAGATGATATTTCATTAGCATAATGTTTAGTTTCATTTGATCAGTAATTGTTAACTCTAAATATTATATAAACTTAGTTCTATGTTTTTACTAACTTCAATAATTTCCGATTTTTGCATTATATTCTCAAGTCTATATGTAAAAAGTATAACAAACGCTATTTGTGTCTCAACTCAGTCCTTCGCCTACCTTACAGTATTTTTTCAAGACTTGATAGATAAATTCCATCCACAAATTGCAGTACAAAGTAGGTAAATCTTACTTCAAAAACACACAAGAACACTCATGTGCCCGAAATGTTCCCTTCTCAATATCTAAGTGAGATGTTTTACTGTGTTTAGTTTAGTTACTTTCTGCGATGTAGTCAAATAAACAAATGGATGTACTTGTCGAATTCCTATATGGACAGAAATGTTACTGCTAAAGCTTACCGGGTGATATTAGTAACTATTTTTGGATTTCATAAGTTTAACTCTGATATCAAAACTAACAGAACTGTTCGTAAATAATTTATCTGAGTATATTGTTCAAATTGTGTTGTTCGTTGTAGGTTTATTCGAATAATAGAAAAAATCATGCTAATCTACAGATCATTAAGTTAGTTGTATTATCGCAGTACATTATGTTACTATATACACTATACACTATAAACAAATACAGTGGATAATAGCGATATTTGAATGAAGTTTATCTGTAAGCATCAGACATTATTTACAGTGACCAAACTAATACATTTTTACTTATTATAAAAAGTGGTTTTATGATTGTTTGAACCGTTTTAATGGTCTCCGGAGTAATGAACACGAATTATTTTATGCCGAAAGGAAAATATCTCTTAAATAAATTGAAGTCAGGAACAGTTTTCAAGTTAGTTTTACTGCAGGTTTACATGTGCAGTTAATCAATGAAATTATCACTATCAGCCACAGTGGTCATTTACTAGAGCTTCATACATTTGGTAGATATATCTAAGTAACTTCACCAGTCTGACTGGATATCAGTATCTTGATTTTGATGTTTCAAGACTGAATTGTTGTAGAAATTCTCAAGCAGGAATATAGCTTTGATTAAGAAATCTCTCGTCAGAGGCTGTATCTCATCTGAAATAATTAATTTGATTGGCAGTAAATGGTTTGATATTATCTTCGTTATATCAAGAAAATATTTTAACACAATGATTCACTTCTATTACTCTAAAAATGTATGTCCTACTTTATACCCAGTCATGAACCTGATCCTGCACGTTGGATGACTCAGGGTAAACCGGAATTAACAATCCACCTAGGCCTTATTCTTGTAGTTTATCAATAAAATGACATTGAAGAGCCCCATAATCTTGTAAAGACTTGAATCCAAGTCGCTCGGCACTCCACATTGGAGTGTCTAGACAGCATCTAGTCCATTATATGACTGCCAAAGTTTCAGATTCAAAACCAGTGATGGAATTTCTCTTTCGTAATGATCATAGATACATGCTGCCGAAAAGTGCAACAAGTACAAAACCAAGGTATACTGATTACTCGCAATGGGCTTGAAGGATTCACTATTAAATAAAATATACGTCAATATCAAGTAACTTAGTTAACTGATTGAATTTCGAACCTGATTAATAGAATTCAGATACAACTAAATGGCCAATTACTGTGGGCCTTACTTTCTATCAACAACTTAAATCACTATAAAGTTTAATACTGGAAATTAAGGAAATTTTTATTTCTAAATAAGTATATAATCACTTGTTGGGTAAGGATTCCTCTCAAGTTGGTGCAATAAACACTTTAGTGCTTTAGTACTGAAACAGGTTCTACGTTTACGCTTCCTAGGTGGTCGGTGTACAAGTTGAGCTCCAAAGGCATCATTTGCTCCATTGTGATGCATTGCCTGGGTTTCAGATAACCAACGTTCTAAGACAGGTTTCATTCGTTTTGCGGATTTTAAAGTTACATCAAGTTTCTCGAATCTGAAACAGATCATCAGAAAGTATATTTTAGTTTTTTAGCACTTTTATATGCTCATAATATAGTTTTTAAACAAAGACGGTTACGTAGAATCAACATTTAAACAACGTTTTAAATATGCTAATAAGCCATGCTTCAAATTAAGATTGTAAAGCGGTATATGTTTATAGCCTTCCTAAAAACCCAAAGACTTTCAGGTTGATAACAATAAGGTTAGCTTCCAAATATTTGGACAGTGATATTAATTAACATGCTTAAGTACGTTCATCTACTATTATACAATAGGTTGGTCAAACCCTAGGTAAGTTGCTATTCGTTTAAATTTCTAACAATAATTTTGATAATAAGAGTGTTTAAATCTTAGATACCAAAATTTTGTTCATGGGTAAGTACCAGAATGTTGTAGAGTGAATTCGCTTAACTTTATATTCAAGCTATTTCGTTGTTCATTCTTCCCTGCTTTATTAACCTAACCAACCTGCTAATGGAATGATTCGCGTTTTTTAACGTAGGAATTGTGCTTATCAATGAACCAACACCGCTAGGTTTGATTGATTTTTTAGTTTCAACCTTATTTCCCTTTTTTCAAATGAATTTTGCCCACAAGATTATGTTGTTTGTTCGTAATTATATCGTCTTGTTCCAGGTTTCATAAAAGAAAGATGATTCAAGAAAGTTATTTTTATTGGGTTATGCGGGCTATTTATGAAGCTCAAATTTTAATTCCTGGTAAAATTAAATATGGAAATGCCAAAAAGTAAGTTACAATGATCGCTTTAATAGTACGGTCCAATGTCTTGTATGCAATCCATTGTTTTCAACGCTTCTGGTAACAGTGAATGGAAATTTATTCCAACTACTTCTTAACTTGTAAACTATTGATAATAACATGCTGCATACTCCAAGTTTAACTTTGTGGCAACTGATCAGTCCCATACATAATACTTATTTTTGGAAAGAAGATAGAGGTTATTAGTAAATACTTCTAAGGAGTCAAAGCTGTAATCTAGTGGTAGTTCAAAATCTTATGTTTCTAAATGTTTTTTTAAAAATTTATTACGATAAATAAAAATAACAAACGTGAATCCAAGGTTATGACTTACCGACAGATTGCACTTTGACTATAGGCAGGTCCTTCTTTGGCATTTAAAGAAGCTCCAACTTGTGTCTGTGTCAAACCCAAACTGAGTCTACGCAATTTAAACAAGTGTGCAAATTCATATATTTCCGCCAAATCATCATTAAGTGAAATTCTATCTTCCTTCTCTTGTATCATTGTTTTCAATCTTTGTGATTTTGATGAAGTGCGTAAAGACGAATTATCTGTTTGATCATTTGAAGCAGTCTTTGAATCGACTAAGTCTTGATTTAAATTTGATAGCAGGGATTCACATTCACTATCTGAATCATATGCTACCGATTGATTGTTAATAAGTAAGTTGTTCTTTATGTGCGATGAAATAGTTTTTTGTTGGTTGGAAATTTGTTCACACTTATATTGATCTTGTGAAGTCAAACTGCCACCAACTACAAAAGATGAAAGCCATCTAAATAAGGAGAAAGTATGATGTCGAGTTTTGTCTGATAACCTAATCTAGGTAAAAAGTGAACATTCAAATTCTACTTTTAAAAATGTGATTCTGTTTTTGACATGAATTATGAAGCGTAAGAAAGCAAATTCATAACCCTCTATATGTCACTGATATATAGTCGATTCACTGAACTTGTCTCATCATACCAGTAATAAAGATTTTGTCAATTTCATCTCGAATCATTTGAAATATTTACCATAAAATAATTTTGTAAATCAATTTATTTTTTGCTTTATAAACATTATTAACCCAGATAAGCTAAAGTTGAGAAATGTATTCCCATAATTTATATTCTTTTAGTAAATATCACGATAATAAATTAAAGACACTCTGTTGGGGAAATTTTCAACTATGTATCTCTGGTGACATTATTTTATAAACTATAGAGTCACCGAAGTTATTCCATGGTCAAAGCAGTTCAACTTGATTCAGGTTTAAACTGACAATTATTCCTGAGCGATTTCCAGAGATCAGTAATAAACAATAATGTAAACCTAATGTCCAAACTTTAAAATATTTCGAAAAATATAGGTGATTTCAAACTATCCACCAGGATGGCAGTTCACATTAACACCAATGTTATTAACTGCAGTACTGAATAACACTGAGGGGAAATCTCTAGTGACAAAAGTATTTCCTTTGTAATCGGTATTGGTAAACATGAAATATAAGTAAGGAACTTTCTACTTGTTAATCCCAGATATTTAACAATGATCAATATGAAATGTAATCATGTCTTATTGTTCAAACAATTTCAGATCGTCATGGAGGAAGAATAGATTTTTTATTGTAAGAATAATAACCGAAATAGTAAAACACCGGCGATATATCAAGAGATTATGATAGCAGACTGTAATCCGAATTTTCTTCTAATTTTATTCACCTGTTTATAATTATGGCTTATTTATTAATTAGCGCAGTAACTCCAATTTACAGAAGCTATGTGTAATATTGTTTCCACTATATAAACTTGTGACAGACTTTAAATGGAGAAAGTTACAATTTAATAAAAACGATAATGTCTACTTTACTAATGAGTGAATATAAAGCATTTGAACTAAACACCTAGTTTGATAATATTTAGTTTTAAAATCACGAAACCGGCATGTTACACAAAAGCGTAATTACAATTCCTGTTCTTGTAAAAATATGTTAACATCATCCACTCAACGTAACAGAGCTCCAAAAATAATCAATTAACTCAGATATTTTATTATATAATAGTACATTTTATCCTTGATTCATCATTCATTAAACATTAATTGTTGTTTGCTAATCATTCCAACAAGAAAGAAATATCGATTTAATTGTTCTATAATTGAACATTCATACAACTGAACAGTTATCATGTGCTAAAAGGAATAAATATGTGTGGATATTTAAATTTGGGTGAGTATATAATTTGACTTCACTACTAATTTATCTATCTGACTACAAAATAGTCATACTGACTTATAAACTACACGGCTTAGAAATAGTCATTTATTTAGACGCTTCATCAGTAATCAGAGATCGTCACTGACTTTACATGATTTGAAAAATAAAAGCATCAACCATAAATTCGATAAGAAAAATGTTTCCTTATCAAGCTGTTTTAATTATTAATTAATTTATCATTTCTTTGCATCAAAATATAACTACTCTAACTGAAGTCTAGGCTAAACTGAAGGTATGAAAGTGTTTTAGGATGTCACATCATTTCACTGATGTTAATGAACCATTTAACGTGATTTTATTTTAGTCGGAATAAATTAGAACTCATAGATAGTTTAAAGACGATTTTGTTTCTTATCGGTAAAAATTTCAGCTAAATTATCCATTTCAAACAAGATTGAGTAGTTCATAAGAAAATTAATATCACTCCGTCCATCCACCATGAGTGATATTATTGACCGTTCTCTTTTCATACCGTTTGTAGAAATCATTTAAAAAACAGGATTGTGAAGGTGCATTTGAGTTCTAATGTTATTATATAAAGGGGAATGATTCCACACATTTCCTTTTCTAATACAGTTCTACTTATTGTAAGAGATGAAAGCAAAATTGTCATTGCAAAATGAACTACACAAACGTATCAGGTCATGAAAGCAATTGTGATGGTTTGTCTGTACATCAATGGATTTAAAATGTTTGAAATTGTCATAATGAACAACGTAGTATTTCATTAAAACAAACAACAAAATAATCAAGATATCTTACTTTCATCTGTTAATAGATCATCCCTCGTATTTGCTCGAAAGTGTGTATTTGATAAATTATTATTATTGTTATTGCAGTCAGCTTCGTTGTTTGAGTTACCTGTTGTCACAAACACTTTGTATTTATTATTATAAATCTGAATTTGTTTTTGAAGTTCTTCAATCGAATCTATACTATTGTGTAAATTATTCTGTTGAACTAAGAGATAAAAGTAGCGTAACCAATTCTCATAAAACGTTTTATATGATAATGATTTGTTGGATGGATCATATTCTTCGGTTTGAATTAATTTAGGATCTAAGTGTAGGAATGATTGAGCTAATGAGTCCAGTGATGGATGGTAATTTGATGTGACTGGAAAGGGAGGTGTTCTGTGTTTGATTGTTTTTGATGAAAATATTGTATTCCCAGCAGTTAATGCTAACGGTTGCAAGCAAGATCCAAATGAATGTTCTTCAGTAATATCGTCGTCAGTCATATTTTTTTAGTACATGTATATTTTAGGATCTAAATTAATATCTAGGCAAATTAAAGTGAATCATTTGTGATCTTATCAATATTGAAATAAATGAATTGAACAGTTATTAATTCTGCTAATTATACACATTATTATTTAGTTCTTCATGAACTGATTAGACTTGAAAATTGAAATTGTCAGAACCACAGTTACAGCTTAAAGATGAAGTAACTACCCATGTAACATTTGTAGCAACTTGGACGTGAGCTGAAGTTACGATTGCTATACAAACAGACACCAAGCAGGTCAGACTAATTCAGTGTAGGTGAAAATGACTATTATATTCAGTAAGCGACCCTTATTTTTGGTTTTAGAATAAAAAAATGGATCATTCGTTTTGTAAATCAAGCTTAAAAAACAGAATCTGACAAGCTTTACGGATAGTCATGACTGGAACACTTCAACCCTTTAAGGCAAAATACTTCTTGACATAGAATAATAAAATTATTTTACCAGATTAAGAAAGTCATTTTTCAAAAGTTAGAGGCGCTTAAACCTCTCATCGGGATTTTAACAAGTTACAACTCAATTTAAGTTAATCAATCCCTGAAAACTACCGACCTTATAAATTCCACGACCTTGTGATGTATTTCAAATAAAGTTTTATATTTGTAAAAGATTTTATTCCTCTGTAGTAGATACTTAAGATTGTAGCTGATCAAATTTTGTTAGAATGAGTAAATATTGAGTGGAGACCTCGATGATACGTTTCATAATTAAAAATTCTTAGTCCACTTAAAAAGTATCTAGCAGTTGGATCATGGACGCTCAATTAGTCTCATTCCCAGCCTTTGAAAGATGTTTGTTGAAGACATATGGTTGATAAAGTGAAAAGATTGGCATCAGCGACCAAACAAGATATTGAATTAAAAAGCCATGTGGCAAGTACAAATATATGGAACGAAATCATAATGGCACAATATGTAAAAGAACACGTAGTCTTTTTCACACTTGAAATTACAAGTCGATCTAAGCTAGACCATCATTGAAAACCTGGACGGACTGAACGGCCATTTCTTGCTAGTACGGGACTCCTCTGTAGTGATCACCCACGATCCCACATGCGGAACCCGAACCTAAGACCTTCACTCCTGCGCAAGAACACTTAACCTCTAGACCACTTAGCCGGTATCAAACGTTGTTAATGTCTAATTTCAATCAATTCATGATCTTTCGCAACTCTTCATCCATTTTTTGAAGTGGATAATTGTACGATTCTTATAGAAAGTACTTATGTTTCACTAGAACCTCCCAGTCTTTTCACTACATATCTGAAATATTTTATTCAGTTATTACATTTTGGTTTTCAAATATTTAACCTTCTATAATCTATTACGGAACTTTAGGTAATGAGGACATCTGTTTGTTCATACTTTGAGGTAAGTACCATCCACAAATCCATTGTATTTTTATTAAATTGAAGCCATATTATTCAGTCCTACACCCAAATATGATTAGATGGTATTACATGGGTTGCAACGAACCCCACGTAGAGACTAGTATTGTTCATGAACATAGTATTTGATATCCACAAAGGTATCATCCGTATTTAATGGTAACTTAAATATATCTTATAAGCTGGGGGTTTTGACCGTCAGGATGAATGACTCAAAGACCCAATCAGAACTGTAGAGTAAAGTATAACGTGATCTAATAACAAGCTATCTATTCTTAATTAATTGTTTTCAATGTAAAAATTGTTAGCATATTCTCCGTTCTGAAACTGATGGAATATTTTTCAGTGGTACATATTTTCTCACTTCAATCAACTTATGTATAACACTATCATCATCCATTATCATAAATGGTAACTACTTTGAGAAATCCATCTCTAAGCTATCCAATATTAAGTATCAGATGATTATTTCCTTGCGTATATTATGGAAATTTGTCGAAAATAGATCTTGATCGGTAGAATAATTGTAAATCAACAAATACTTAGATTTCGATATGTGTATAAAATCACTTTGGAATTCCATTATTTGAATTAGAATAACCAAAGATTCACAATTCTGAATAAAGACTGTCTTCGTATCGTGTTTTCAAAACTTATAAATTTGACTTTCACCATTATATTATCATAGAAGTCGACGAAATCTTTGTGGTTTTCATGAATTTAGTCAATAATTATTATGAAAAACGTCTGTGAACGAATATAAAGAACTATGGAAAACCGATTAAATTAATAAAGATCACTTGCTACTAACTAAATATACTTTACACTGTAATCATATTTTCTTTAAATAAAGACCTTACATAATAAAATAATGATAGTAAAAAGATTTTTACTCACTTAAAATTATGTTTTAGAAAGTATCAGTTGTATAAGATAATTATCTTTTCCAGCTTCCTTTATTTACAGGCTAATAAAGTAAATTATAATAGGCAGTGAAATTATAGTAAATCAGGCACATAGTAGGCAGGGAAACAGACAAGCGCCTTCCCTTCAATCGAACATTTAAATTATTATTTTTACTATTAACATTATTATCATTAATATTCCTACAACATTAATTAGTATTTATATCATGAGGTTTAATATAATTATGGTTTTTCATATATTTTCTATGCAATTATTAGGGCATTCGAATGTCCCCTCTCTAATTCACTTCGTTTGTCCCCCACGAATAATCTATTCTAATATATGTGTCTTATATTCTTATAACATTGGCTGGTTATTTGTCCAGCCATCAAAAGTTCAACTACACTTTGCTTGTGTGTACATGGGCACAAACCTGTTCCTATCTTGTAAAGTGAACTATGGAAAAAAAATGCTTGTGTGCGTGCGACCTGTGTTTAGAAATATACATTTATAAAAGTAAATTTAGTTATAGGTAGAAAAGCCAACAATCTACTTATATGCCAGATATTACCAAAGTAAATACGGAGATCCGATTACTGTCTACAGATGTTTACGTTTCCACCTCAAGTAGAAAGACTGACAAAACGCTTTAAAAGGAAGTTTATAAAAATTTTACTTAAAACTATCATTAAAATAAAGTTTAGAAAAAGTGCTTGAAAACGAGTTCTATACTATAACTAATTCACTTGGAAAATAATCGTAAACGTTGTATCATTAGGAAACTATTTTGTACTAGTTCAAAATCGTCGAGCGTTAAAATCGTGAACAGATTTAGAATAGATCATATGACATTCACATCTTTTAGTAGGCTCATCCTTTGTGGGCGAAATTTAAAAGTTTATTCAAAGCACAATGGTAATGATAATAATAATCCTTATTAATAAGGATAAAAATTCTAACATATATATTCAACTTCCACCATTCATAGTCCAATATAGAACAGAAGGGGAAAATTTAAAGCTCTATCATTGAACAGTTGGTTGAGACTAGTCACCAGAATAATATAGGAATTAACTCCTAAGATTATCTATCGCATTCCATCCAAATCAAAAACAAACCTTAAGGGACTGAATGAACTAAAGTAAGCCATTAGCCCAGTTAGATGAATATCTAAAGCTGAAATGGTAGGATAACTGATCGATTCGCTTTAATTATTTTATGAGCGTTAGAACTGATGTCCATACACCATAAAACTCAGTGAACAGATAGTGAGGCTGTTCCTTTGGTTATCTCTTCACTGTTTTTATTTCAGAAAAACTAATAAATAATGCTTCAGCTAGTCATCAAAATCTAAAACGTATCATTTTCTTTGCCACTTAATTATTTGTTCTACAATTTTAAATGGAATTAAATACAATATCCTGTATTGTAAGTCAATAAACTAGTTTTTCTATACAATTTGTATAGTCGATGCTTCATTTCAGTTTTACTAAGATTATACTCTTCATTTTCTTTGAGATTTTATAAAAGTATTCGCATTCAAACTATCAGAAAGAAGCTTGAGAAGGATACTGTAAATTTCAAGAAACTACTTATGGAATAATCAGTTTTTATATTCTCTTTGCATTTGTGTTAGGGTGATTCAGAAAATTTCTGGCCAAAGACAAGCAAGGACCAGGAAACACTAAGAAGCATTTCATCCAATCAGCGTTCACTTGAAGTTTTAGCCAGAAACATCAAGGAAGTAAAACGTCACATGTGGAGGTTCTGATTGGCTGATTGCTATACTGCTACTGTTTAGTAGCATTCCAGAATCTTCGAGCAACCCAAGGACATTAAAAAAACCTATATTTTCTGTATTAAAACGAACCATTGGAGTGGGGTGCTTCTCGCATATTTTGCGTCTTTTCTCTCTTGTTCAGGTCGTTGTATAGTGCTAGCTTGGGGGTTACAGAATAACTTAGGAAACGAATATAGCGTTCAATTCGCACAACTTATCAATTTGCTAAACAGTTGTTTTGTAGTATTTTTATATCCCTCTAGTCCTAAGCTATCGTTTGACTCAATGACTGTTGCGGTATTTTTCGACGTTCATTAATTACATGTCATTATTAATAAACCTGTCATTCAACTATCCCATTATTGTCCTAGTTGTGTACTGATTGAGATTGATTAATTATTTGTCTGTTGTGATCTTACATCTTATGTATATAATTGAGTTTTTGAGTCTAGATAAAACATAGTAATATCTGGTATAGCATATACTTGCAATTCTTTCTTTCTTTAGAAAATCAACTTCAAACTCACACTTAAACTACGACGACACCTATGAAAGTGTTCAGTAAAGCTATATTACCATGTTTTTGTAGTTATATTTAAAACGTCATAAGTTATATCATTTGGAATACCAACTAAGTTTTTGACACTCAATTTTAATTGATCTACTTGGTTAAAAGTCGTCTTCTCTTTTCAAAAAATAACAACAATAATAACTAAGGCAAATAGGAAAGAAAGGGAGGGGGAAAGAATCAGTGAAAATAAAGTTGTAAAGAAGGGATAATCATTAATACTCTTATGAAAAATGAGTGTACACATTTATGATGGACATGTGATGTTTATACAAAACTGTCTTAATAAGATTGTCATTGTATATATATGC